GGCGATGGATGTGGAGGTTGAAAGTAAATAACAGAGTACAACATTGGACTCTCCACCCCTTCTCAAATCACTATTTCGTGAGACTCTCCCCGTCGTGTAAAAGGGAAGTGCAATTATTTAACCAGATTTATTGGTTCCCGTTCGTGCAAACTGTGACCTCGTGTCGAAGTCTGAAAAGGTTATTACTAATTACATTATGGGAGAACGTTTGTGACATTCTACGAATTGGGCGTTTTTTGTAATATGGCATGGTGTATTTTCTATTTTTCTTTTTTTATTCCCTTTTATGATTAAGATCGTTCCAAGAAAAGGAAGTTCCGGGGCTTTATTTCGGTTCTTTCAGAGATTTCTTCGCTCAACCTCCGGACCTCCTAGACAACACACACACACACACACACACAACACACACACACACACACAACACCACACCACACCACACACACCACACAGACGTGAATTCATTCACACCGGTCTCGGAGACAGTGATTTCTTACCGAACAAGAATTCTTACATACTGAGATAGACCTGCCGACTTTTTTTGTGGGGGGGGCAGTGTGAGTGTGAGACCGATGTTTGAGCAGGCCATCAAATCTCACGAAGCTGTTCTTTTTGCTTTTCTTGAGTCAAATGAAAGGAGAAACATTAAGAGGGTGACTCACTGAAATGAGGTGTGTGCGTGTTTCAGGTTACAAACACACTGGGCCACATTCACATAAACGTTCTTTATTCTTGATTTCATTGTGCAATCACTTGAGATAATATGGCTAACAAAAACAAGGCTCTGAGTCTATGCCATTCATACATCGGGATATTCTGAATTAAACATCAAAATCATTTATTTTTCAAATGTGGGGAATGGATTGCTTCAATGAGACACATTGAAGGATGGAGCAAGACACACGACGAGTGTGGCTGAAAGAGAGAAGAGGATGTAGAGAGGCAAGCTGGACAATACACTGTATGTGGAAGTGGAAGGGAGGTGATGGCTGTGCCCCACATAAGGATGCAGGAATATAAAAGAAAACCACAAAGGAGGAGAGTGGGAGAAAATGAAACGAGCGGTACGAGAGCCTGCGATTCATGAAGGTCGCAGACAGTGTTCGTCTCAGGGATGAGCCATAATGACTCAGTTGAGCATGTGCGCATATTATCTCTGCACAGTGAGATGTTTAATGATTCTTCAAGGTGACCGGAGTCGGCACGTTTTGTGTAGTATTGCATTGTGTGTGCGAATGTGTTGAATACTTTTTGTTCGTGCACGTGATCCTGCTCCTGTGAGTTAAATGTTTTCCACTGGAGCATGGTCTGAGTAAAAGCTCGAGGAAATTTGGATATCTGCTTTGAAAAACTCCTGACTCAAGTTATATCATTTCTGCTGACAGTCCGTAAATTACATTTGGAATAGGGAAGCATCCAGTCTTCCACTGCTAATTAAGATACAGTCCCTAAAGATGTAAAACCAAAACAAGCTTAAGCTATCACAACAATGTTTAAAGTCTATGCATTCTTTTAGCACGGAGAGAGTGCAGGATAGATGTCTGCAGAATATTCTAAAAACCTAAAATACTTGACCCAGAAAAATATATTTTATAAATAAATTACTCACCACGTTGAATTTGTTTTAAAAAAGTATTTTTCCTCCAGAGGCAAATAACAGAGCAAAGTCTTGATTATTCAAGTTTAAAGAGCTGCAGTGGTTAGCTAGATGTTTGATTTTATGTAACTACATGTTTAAAAATGTGTTCAATATTTTGAGATACAAGATTGATACGGTCTCAAGTCTTTACAGCAAATATTAAGCTTCCACCAGCAGCTTTAGTTAGACTGGAAACAGGTGTAATCTATCTAACAATAACACAGCAGTCCACCCACCAACACCTCTAAAAAATCTCAAACTTCTGCTCTAATGATAGGAAGAAATGGTGGTCATGGCTAAAACAAACCAACATTGAGTTATGATATGGGACGTTAGTCATGGTCTCCAAATGTCAACCATTCACCTTGAATTTTTCCAAGACACCCTGTAATGTTCAGTAACACCATTACTCTACTTCCACCTTTGTGAAAAAGACAGAACAGTCATTTATTGTAAGACAGAAAGAGGTCACTTCCTCAAAAAAAGTCCTTTTAATCACTTGAAAAACCTACTCTGTCATTTATTTTCGGGTGAGTCTCTCCAGGCAGCTAATGATGTCCATTTGTTTCCACAGTGTGGAAATCAAATGTCAGACTGTGAAACTTTTGAAACACCCAGTCTGGACTCATTTGTGTCAAAAGTCACATTAAAAGTGATAAGTAAAAGTGATATACACTTTTTACTATTGACTTGAAGTTCTGTCTGTTAACCACCTGTTATTGTTAATGAAAACAGAGACTGACCAGCAGGATACAGGAGAGAGAACCAAGTGACAGACTTATAGCTGCCGTCTGCGTCTGTTGAGACCGGCTGCAGTGTTCATACTGATGACCCATGCCAAATTAAAAATGTTACATAATTACTGCCATTTTGTGGATGGTTTTATCCAAAGTGCGCTACTGTCATTGTAATTATTTTACGGCTACATGCAAAAACATAATTTTGAATACATTGGTTTGTCTGGGAATTTTGGTCTATTTTGCTTCCATCACTTTTCATAAGATCACTTATTTCAGACGAGTGGAAGGAAAACAATTCACATACATTCGTTTTGCTTCATTTATTTCGGTTTGTAGAAAATGATAAGAATTAGCATTCAAACAAGTTAAGTGCTCTGGAAGTTTCGTAGTGATATCTATTAGGTAAGTAGTTAACCCTATTCCTCTGCATGATATATATGGAATTTCCCACTATACATGCCTATCCTTAAAGGTCTTTTCACAGAATATGTTATTTCTCAGCACTCTATTCTCTGGCAATAAAATGCCTAATATGCAAATTTGAACTTGCAATTTTAGAAAACTTGTTATAAAAAAGTGTTTATGTCAGTCATCAGCTGGGGACGTTTGATGGTGACATCTAGTTAAAATGATGACCCCATTCACTTGAATTCTTTCCTCTACATTGGTGTTGGAAAAAAGATTTATGACGGGGCTTTTTTGTGTCAGCACCTTATGGGGAATATTTTGCTTCAGACTGCATTTCTTAAAATTCAATTGCGACATATTTTTCTTCTGTGGATTTAGTTCATCCATGATTTATCTGTGGTTGCAGTATGCAAAATTGCAGTATCTTACCTGCAATTTTACATTAAAAAGTGTCCTCTTTATGTTTTAGTTTGCAATTGTGTACACACAGTGTTGAGAACATATTTGCACCTTGGTATAGTCTTGTTAAATCACTTACGTACAAAGTGGGACAGAAACTTCCCTTGAACTTGGAGTTTCCCCCTAACCCTGACGGCACTGCTGCTAGACAGAAGAATAGGACAGAACAAGTACAGAATAAAACAAAGCAGGTTGTCACTCTGGGTGACTTTTAAGAGAAGGGTCAGAAGACAAAGCAGGTGGACGACTGACAGAAAGCTTGTTCTGTACGAGGGCAGGATTAGAAGAGAGGGGCGACGTCTGAGCACCTGTTCTTCTGATTGATGTGTCCTCGCTCCGTCACCGGCCACTGGGCACGATCCCTTGCTGTTTTCATGTCAAGCACGAACATACCCAGACACAACTCAATAATTGAGTTTATTCATTGAAAGACAAAATACTCAGACAGTCAAACATTCGAATATTTACATCCCCTGCTCCTCGTGTGTGTGTGTGTGTGTGTGTGTGTGTGTGTGTGTGTGTGTGTGTGTGTGTGTGTGTGTGTGTGTGTGTGTGTGTGTGTGTGTGTGTGTGTGTGTGTGTCATTATGTTCATGTTTGCCAGTTGATAGATGATATCATACCTCTAAAAGATTGCATTACATTTTGGTTATGTTCCACTGATTGCTTTGTTGCCGTGTTGTAATCTGACTGCAGAGAACATCCAAAAATAGAGCTGGGTTTAATTTGAATTTTTGTAATACGAGTGCAAAAACAAAAGGATGTCTGGGTTGTGTTACCAAACCCAAAATGAGGTTCTCTACAAAACCATGTTCAAATAGTTGTCCCAATTATGTATCAAAGGACGATCTTTTTTGCTGAGCATTAGACATCAAAAACATCGGATCCACTGTCATATCTGTTATTTAAATATAAACCATGAGACAGCTGGAAGCATCATGACTGTTGTCGAATGTAGAAACTCTTGCACCGAAGTCTCTCTAATAATAATAATAATAATAAGCATGTTATCTGGTTTCTTTTTTACTTATCTTAGTTGTTTAAACTGTTGGACGGTGCTGTGACTTGCTAGAGTCTCCGCTAGTTGCCTGGCAACCTAATAGGGACAACTTGACTCTAGAAAGTCACTGCTCGTTTAAAAAAAGAAAAAAAAGGCACATTCAAAAACAAAAAGTGATCTCTCTTTGTTCTGGTTGGCAGATTGTTGTTACATTTAGAAGGAGCCAGGCCCCTGTTTCCAGCCTGAAGCAAATGTTACATATTTAAAGAACAGAAATGAGAGTGGTATCGATCTTCAAAGTAATAGCAACATTTCTCCAATGTCAAACATACTTAGAGGTTCAATATCCAACCCTACTTGCATTATAGATGTTATCCATCTCACTGTTCCACTACTTCTTTCATCTCAATTTTCTCTGACTTCACTTTACTTTTTTTCCATCATACAGTATGTCCTTTTCGTTTTCCTTGAGAAATATACCCCCTATCTTCTTCCTCTTTGCCTCGCCTGCCTCAGTATGTCCATCTGTTGTGCTAAACCAAGCGACTGATTGTATTTGTGGCTGTCTGTGAGGTAGATAACCTGGACCTGGATGACAGTGGGTTTCAGGAGGGGGTGTGCAAGTGTGTGTATGTATTATAGAGAGGATCTGTGGGGGCAGCAAGGACGTGATGTTTAGGAAGGGCAGACAGGGAATGGGACAGAGGCTAAGATTCAGACTTTGAGCCCATTAATCATTTTAAACACAAACATGCACACACAACTGAGAAAACAACCACCTACAAGGACGTTAGTATGCTAGTATGCCCATTGTAATTGATACATCCATTAAACCAATTGCGCTTGCATCCCCCTTTATCAGAGCACACACAGGTTGCATACTGATTCTAGCACCCAAAAATAGAACCAGTGATGCATAGGCAAACATGCTGCCAATACATTACAACACACATCATCCCTTCTTATAACGTGTACATACAAATAAACACATTTAAAAGCAATCCATGCATGCCATAATTTCATGCAGCGTGTACATTTCGCACCTCAGTCGTATCTTCTATATTTATCTGCCCTCATATAGCCAGTTTGTGGGTGACAGTGTCTGCATTGATTGTCTTGTGCCCCTGCAGTTTGACATGCAGCAGCTGTCTCTGGATGAGCTGAAGCAGGTGCTGTTCCATGCCTTCAGGGACCACCTGACAATGAAGGACATCGAGAACATCATCATCACCGAGGAGGAAGGCCTCAACGAAAGCTCAGGAAACTGCCCTGAGTACGAGGGAGGTGAGGAAGCTGCTCTCTTGGAAACTTCGCTGTTATTAATACCTGTACTGTTGCTGCAAAGTCTTTTGTAATTCACTTGATGGGCTATTTAAAAAAAAGTTATGTTGAGTATATATGAGTTAATGTGTCTATGACCAAAATATTCTCCAAAAAACGTAATCTGTGCTTAATTTCTGTAACTCAGGCAGTTACAGCGATTATCCAGCTCTATATTGGACGATGACTCAGCATGAGTTGTAGCAGCGTCACTATGGAAGCGATGCCTATTTATTTATTCATTCATTAACTTTGTGGATTGCTCATGTTAGTACTACTGGTTTTTAAATGTGCTTAGATGTGACTGTCTGTCTGTTGTCTGTGTTGTTTTAGGTCATAATGGATTCCTTGTCTTTTATCTCCATACCAAATCTACCTAAGTTTACAAATAAATGATCTGAACTTAATCCGTTTGTTTAAGTTCAACATTTTTGGAATAGCAATGTTTGTGTTTTCGCCAGTGTTAGAGTAGCTGCTGCCAGACGCAATTAGCATAGCTTAGCATAAGTAAACGGTTGAACTAGCCTGTTTCCAGAACTCCAATTAATACCCACAATTCAGATTTCTTGAGCCTTTCCTATTGGTCTTATGAGAGTAATTGACGGCTGTTTCAGCTGTTTATAAGAGATAATAAACCAATAAGCTTCGAGTATTTTTTTCATATAGCTAGCTAGTTGCTACCTAACTACATCAATAAAAAATGACAGATCTTGAGTGAATTATTTTCATTTTGTGGAAAAACATTATGTTTACTCAAAGCAACTGTTCAAAGGCTAAAACGTATGAATCACTCAAATGTACATCCATGGGAATCCATCACTCAATACTTATTGATTATCAAACATGCTTTTAAATGACTTTCTTAGCCTTGCACCGAGAGATTCAAGGGACAATTCCTCATTTTAAATGTGCTGCTCTACCAAAATCATTACCCACCACAGATGTTGTAACGAGGAAATCCTGAGGGCAAGGTCATGAATGCTGACGTATATTCAGGAAAACAGATGTGATATTTAAATGATAACATCTATTAATCTCGAGGTCATGCATTCATTTCTTTATTTTTCAAAGCCAAGAAGAGGACATGTTGTTAATATCTGAGTGCCCAACACAGAAGGCATTTTAGTTGAGAAATACTTTCAGACCAAGTTATGTTGCTTTAGGGAGATAAGAAGGAAGAAAAAAAAGAAGTCTGACCTCGTCTTAGTTATGGTGCAGAGCTATAAATTGCCTTACTTCTGTGAAACATCCACAAGTCAGAGTAGCACAAAGGTAAAGACAGATCAAACACGCTAGAAAACTGTGAAAGTCTTAATGAATCTATTGGGTACTGGCCTACAGTCTGGGGGAGGCCTAAAAGGAGACGGCTGGGAGGAAATTGAGAAACTTAGCAGAGGGAGTAGGAACAGTGAAGGAGGAGATAAGAGGCTAAAGAAGGGATCAGGGAAGTGCTGGAAAGTGTTTGGGTGTTTAGGGAAGGAGTTATGAAGAGGAAACAGTCGAAAGGCGCTAAAAGAGGACAAGTTGGAAGAATTAAAAGAGATGGAGGTAAAAAGAGCCTCTCTTGAAGAGAACAGCTGTTTTAGTCTCAATTAACCATCTTCCCATATCCTCAACTTCCCTCTTTCATGCGTCCTTCCCATCTTCTTCCTGTCCGTCGGGACTTCAACGCCTTGCACAGTCCCTCTTAGATCCTCGACTCAGAGCTCTGAGTTGATTTATTGATGCAGCGTGTGATTCTAACGAACTAAGACAAGGGAGCTAAGAGAGGAAACCTTTGGTTGTTGATTTTGCTGCAAGGCCTGTTTGAGGACACATCGGACTCTGCTCTTCTTCTTTTTTCCTTCTCCTGAGATTATGTCTTTAGGGGGAAAACTGTCTTTCAGCTCACAGATAGGTAGAAAAACATTAAAGTTTGATGTCACTCCTCTTGTCTTTGTTTTTGCTGCATCATAGGGAGTATTAGATTGAGTTTGTGCCTCCAATCAAATCACTTCCCCAGATAATCTTGGTCACATATAAAGTGGTCAATCTTGAAGTGCATTGCCAAAAATGTCAAACAATCACGTATTATATATTTATTTTGTATCATTCTTTTGAAGTCAATAAACCTGTCGATAAGTTAGCCAATCATCATCAAACGAGAGGCCAACACTTGAGCTTAACAATCCAAAACTCTAAACCTGTCTCTCATTTCTTTTGTCTTCTTCGCAGTCCATCCCAAGAAGAAGAATCGGCAGACGTGTGTCAGGAAGAGCCTGATCTGCGCCTTCGCCATGGCTTTCATTATCAGTGTCATGCTCATCGCAGCCAATCAGATGCTGCGGAACGGCATGGAGTAACCAATTGCACTGTGAGCATGGCGAGTGGACAGAACAGCCACGACCTCACATCTCGTCTTTGCAGCTTAAGCAGGACCAGCTACAACCCGAGCACTTCTCTAAACAATCAGTTGAGGGTTTTTTTAGGTTAATTTGAACTTAGTAGTAAATGTGAGTGAGATGACGAGAAATATTAATTTGTTTTGCATTGAAGATGTCACCATGTATAGTTACTGGACTTACGGGTCACAAAGAACTGAAACAATTATGTTTTTATAAAAAAAAACGTGAGAATAAATAGAGGGTGTTATTTTGACAGAGACCACTCTTTAAACTTGATTTTCTAATTACCAGAAAAAGTTTATCAGGTGCTTTGAGCCATTCCTAATTTAAAAATAACAGTGGTTATTATGAACAACTGCATATTTACCTTAGAGAAGTAGCTGAATGTGAGTGAATGAGAGCGCTGAATGTCAGGCACTGTATTTAAATGTATTGTAAATCCATCACATCTCAAATAGTCATGTTTAAACATCATCGACCAACTCAGTCCGCTAAATGTCAGGGCACATGAAGTCTTTGTGTAAGGAGCACAACTCAATACTCAGTGAGGGGAAACTTGGGAATCATCTCTTTGTCTGTAGGTGTGTCAAAGATAGTAACTAATGTATTACAAAATAGATTTGGTCTATACTGGAGCACATGGATTTAAAGCAAAAAGCAGAGGAGGTGTCGAAAGGTGCGTCTCTTTTTGCCTTAATTCTGTGCTTCAGATGGACCAAATATCTAAAGTCTCTCCTGATAAATTAGATTCCTACTCTGAGAGACAGTCCAAAAATGTATTTCTCAAGGGGGTTGAAGCGGTTAACCTCTACCTTCACTAGACGGTGCATAATAAGCTCAGGCCGTCTGAGAGGAAAATATATGAAGGTTTGTGATAATTAGTAGGGAAAAGATATACATTCCCTTGTTTTCAGTTATGCGTTGGTAAAAAATCCTTCACCTCAACGTCTCCTTGTAATACAGCCCAACTGCGGTAATTATAAACTGCACTAAAAGCATGCCAGTATGTACACTGCCATATCAAACATTTGTCTAGCTCCCATGAATCTCTCTGTATACATAGTAGTAATTATCTTGTGTAATGTAGTGTTTGTTCACAACAGCCGAATGTATGAAGGGTGGAAACTAGTGAGATAAATCAGGGATATACAGTTGAGCTGTGACACGCTGGAGGTACAGCAGCAGTTTCTTTTTGGAAAAGGTTGCATTCTAGTGGTTTAAATGAGAACTGCAGCTAAACACTTGAACTACCATGTCTACAAGGTGTTCAGAACTGAAGAACAACGCCACTGAATTTGAGCTTAGATATTTGTTGTGTCGATGTCACATTTAGGTCTGATTTGGTTCACTGTTTCTTAAATGCAAAACCAAGTGTTTCCCCAAGAACCCAAATTGTGTTGTCGCACCAGCACTCAGGTTTTGAGACTGAAGTGGCTGATGCAGGACCTCGGTTAGTTTCTGGAGTCATAGCTATGGTTTATGGTTCAGACCATCGACCTGATAGCACTACAATTTTAAAGAGCTTAATGGAGTCAGGGGGTTTGACAAGAACAGACAGTCATGCTCGTCTTTATAATGGAGACCCCCGAGGATGAAAATCCCAGTGACTCCACAGATTACGTTTGAGGATTTTATTTTTTCTTTCGGTGTAGAGCTCTGCGTTACAGAAATATCATTGTTAATCCACTGTTAGAATAGTATCATACCAGTAATGGTGTCCATTATTCTGTTGTCTAAGCAGAAGATTTAGATCAAATAGTCATTTCAAAACAAGACTACGGCTGAGATTAAGTTATTTTAAAGGTCACCTATTGTGCGAAATTCATGTCTTTTATACATCAACATGTGTCCCCTCTGTGTAAAGCGATTCTAAAAGTTTCAGGAAAAAAGATTCGCTCACTTTTTGGCCTGATCCATTTATAAAAACCTGTCTGAAAATGAGCTGATCAGATTTTGGCCACTTTATGATGACATAACGATTTGTTGGCATGTGTAACCACTAGCCAATAACCAACCAAGGTAAACCCCGCCCACCTTATCACCTGAATCTCCTCCTAGAGCACCATGGTGTTCTTTTTAACCAAATATCTCTAAGAGGGGCGTGGGGAGGGGCTCCTTATTTTCCTCTAAAGTAACAGACAGAGAATCAGCACTTTTGAAACAGGGCAGGGGATTATGGGATGTTACAATGCATGATCTGTTTGGTGTTTCGAGCCAAACACTTCAGAGACATGTTTGTATATAGCTGAGACCTATAATATATTGATAAGAAACAGTATAATAGGGGACCTTTAAAGTCATTATCCGCGTCAAAACAGTCGTACATTTTGTTGGTGACCATTTGTTGCAACATAATGTGCCATAACGGCGGCATCCTGTTTGTGGATTCCTGAATTGCTCGGTGCTCCCCTTGGATCTTGAGGCAATTATATGTTCTGTTGTGTGATGAAAACAATACCAGATATTTCCATCACCTTACGTGCAGCCATGTAAGTTTGCTGTCCAGGAAATAAAGGGAAGAGGGCTTTCTCTTAAAAAAAAAAATGGCTTTGTAAGATCAAGTATCACAGCAAAAGTGTATTATACTGTAAATCAGTATGCATGTTGTTGTTTAGATTTTCATGTCTTTTTGAAAGACTGTGGAATCAGTTTAATCTTTCTTTGTGGTGGCATAGCCTTGGTTTAAATGTATGTCCTACTTTCATATATTTGACTGTCCAGTTTATACTGTAATAGCCATTTTTTCTAGTTTCTACCAGCTATCAATCAAATCAGAGTGCAGGAGAGGGCATTTTCATAAATATGCAAAAACAAGGTCACATCTTCATCATCTGTTTCACGTCGTATAGGGTAGAGTCTGTAGGCCTCACTGTGGGTGGTTAAAATTTACTTTGAATAAAATATAATGTGTGTTTTAGATTTTTATTAAATGTTCTCACTGCCTCACAGTCCTGTGAAAACTGCTGTATAATGTATGCTACACTTATCTTTGTGAGTCAGTCTTTGATATTCTCGGCACATTGAAATCTGACCAATGTTCTCACTGTTGGCCATTAGCATCACGGTCCTTTTGAAACCAGCATAGACCACTATATCTTAACAAAGTCCACGTCCATTCAGACATCCTTTCATGGTTTGGTAAGGGACACTCGTAGAAAAAACCTTTTATCAACACTTTTAAAGTTTACATTATTATACTGTACATCTGGGAATCAAATCATGATGTTCATGTTTTTCAGAGTTGCTTTTAAGATTTGTTTTTACCAACACATGTTTTTACCTTGTAGATTGTATAGAGATAAAACTAAACACAGATATGTAAACCTTGGCATGCTGCTTAGAAAAGGAGAAAGAAAACAGCAATAGTCGCCAACTGAGTGGATATTTAAAAATGCAAATAATAGGTTTAATCTGTCTAATCTAAAAAAAATATATATCCATATATGTTTATGCAATAAAACCTTGTTTTGATAGAAATATAAGTCATCTGTGTTTACTTCAAGACCAACAACATACACATAAAATCATATATTTAGTTACTTAATGAGCAGGATCATTTTCTCTGACTGTGACACTGACTACAAAGCAGGCCTCTTGCTTTACTTGTCATTTGTTATCATCCTCTCTGTTATTTCAAATACTAACCCTAAGAATAGAACACAGCATGGTTTATCCAGAGCGCCCTTTACTACAGGTAGCAGAGCGTGCATAAAAGAGCCACGAGTCAGAAGAGCAGCCTTTTCAAGTGCAGAAAGCTCACTGCTCTGACATCCCCTTCTCACATCACACATGCGGGTCATGTAGCGCTGCAAACACAAGTGCTTTGAGTGAACTAACCTTGGCGGGTGTGACATGCCATGCATACAAAGGTGACCCTTCCACCATTGAGATGTGCATCTTAAAACTCGGTTTAGCCGGAGGCAGTACGTGAGGAGAGAGGTGAAATAACACCTTTGTCAACATGTGTCAGAGAGGAGCGTCCTGTGGAGCGGTGCTGGCATCTGCACTCACTGTAAATCATGATAATTAGGTAGCATAGGTCAAACACAACAGAGACCAGCCTCATAATAGATGCTCTCAAACCCCATTAACCACCAGATTATGAACCATAACATGCCATTAAGTGGACCAACAATACATTATTCTAAGTGGAAAAGCCCAGGCAGGACATCTGGTCTTATATTGTATTTCCTATTTGTGGATTCATTAGGAGTTTGAATTTGTAAAGTACATTATCTGTCTATACTGCTTTTATCTAATTATTATATAGTTACATCAGAAAAGCAGTTATCAGGAGTCATTGATGACATCAGTGATTAGTTTCAAGTTATCCTGCAGAAAGGGGCACCTGTGAAAAGTCACTGTGATGGTCGCTAAATGAAAAAGAAGACGACAATTCAATAAAGATGACACACGAATACTTAAATGCATACAAATCATTTAATATTAGGTATTCATTGCATGACTGTTGATCTAACACATTCAGAGTTGATCTAACACATCCACTGCAGAGACAGCATTACATGGTTATTCTCCCAGCACACAGCAAACTGATCAAAATCATATTTTAAAAAACACCTTAACAGATTAATCTGCGTACACTCATGTAAGTTGGTGTTGGAATCCTTCATACGCAACACCGAATCTGACTTAAAGGGGGGAAAAGTTATTTATCCTGGTAACACTGCTTATAAATTGTTTGAGTGGAATATGACAAGTGTAACAATGTAACAAAGTCTTAGAAAACACAACACTCACTTGATGACTTTGTTCTACTTATCTGCAAAACCCTCCTGCCTTCTGAGTTGCCTTGTGTTTTCTGATGGCAAGTTTCTAACAATAAATAACAGCTAAGAGGACGTAAAGCCAAAGATTAGTCTTTGTACGGTTTTCATGCTTTTATGTCTTCTTGCCCCTGTTAAGGCAAACTATTATTCTATTAAAGTTTTGAGTGTAGCTGATGGATCTTGGAGGATTCAAGTAGTGTTTCCTAAAACATGTAAGAGAGAGGTATGGATTGATCATTTGAAGTCATTGTAACCTGTTCCATGTAAAGACTTTGGCAAAATCGCCTGGAAATATGAAAGTCAAAAGTTGATGGGAGGGATAAATTAGATAAGTTGCTGGTACATGTGTTATGCGGGACAGAGGTATAGAGAACGATGGTAAACAGATGGGACGATAGGAAGGGAGAAATAAGAAAAGTGAAGCTCAGAACTCTGTGTGGAGGTGGCTATAGTCCCGGCTGCCCGTGGGGATCTCGCTGGGCTTCATGAAGACGCCCTCCATTGCCTTCCACAGGCTGTGCTGGCTGGGGTCTGCCATGGCGTGAACTTCCCTCTGACCGTTGATCGGCCGTCCGTACTGCTCCCCTGTCACTGACAGAAATGCATCGGTGGGTTTGTGACGGAAACGGACGGCCTCCTCTCGCTTCCACACAGATCCCCCACACTGAACCGTCCACTCGTCCAGATGGTCCCCCTCCCCGTCGTCCCCAAACGCACTCACCTCCTGTGGACGGGTGAGAGAAACATTATTTGAAAAGTAAAATAAGAGAAGGTAATGTACCTTGTTTTCTGATAGCTTTTTGGGTCCGTTTTACTATCTCTCCACTTTCCAGACATAAGTGGTGTGGGATAAATATATATCGATGTCGTGCTTCTTAAATAATGTTCTGTTCTAATTGTGTCTCCCTCGCCTAAAGCCAACATTTTTTTAATGTGTACACCTTGTACAGTTATGTTCACAGACTTTTTCTCCACCTACACACTTTGAGTGTATTTTAATACAGCCATAAATAATACATGTGTTTATAATCTTTGAACTTGCTTTAAATTTCTCCTGCTGCTAAACTGGAACTATCAGCTGACTTTAATTGTGTACAGTATGAACAATGTTCGACTTAGACTCTAAGTATGAACTGTTATTGTTAGACATTTTGATACTGTTCATAACAATCTGAAAATACTGAACTGAAAATATACAGGTCTGTGCAGTATAAAAATGTCTAACAATAACAAGCATTTCTCAAATGGCACGGTACACATCTTCCAAGCCTGTAGCACTTTGGCTTGACAGTGTTTTTACACTTCCTTAATTTTGGAGAGGTTTTTTCAGGCCTGCGGCTGTTTTCCCACAGAGTTTGTTGCGTTTCCTGAAGTGTAAAAGCTGCTGTCAGCTCAGATTAACCTCAACATTTTTTCTAGGGTTCCATAAATGTGACCATTTTGCAACAGACTTTGTGTTAGTAATGCAATGAGCTGCAGTGAGTGGCTTTAACTTTGCATGATACTAATACATTCTAAATATTTTAGTATTATATTAACATTTACACAAAAATCTTGAATAAGGCTCTACTACATTTTGGACATTGACATAAATGCGCCAATCTCTGCAGGTTGTTATGTCATGATGCTTCATATAAAACGAAACCTCGAGCCTCTCCCCATGTACTTTTCAGCCCACCCACCTGGTTGGAGGACAGCGGGGAGGCGAAGTAGTGGCTGTGCAGGTTACGGCCTGTGTTGACATGGGTGAGACGGATATCTTGCCCACACTTGACCGGGGTGCCCCGATGGCACAAGGTGTCCAATGTCCCACGGACACTCCAGTAGCTGTTACTGTCCTCTATCGTCATCACCCCTGTTACAGACTGCTGCCCGCTACCTGTCTCACACACACAGAAGAGCACACGGTGAGCAGAGAAACTCCAACCAGATACAGAACCAGGGATGTTGAAAGAAACAGCAAATGTGATTTACCAAGGAAGATCAAGACTGTCGAAAAATACAACTACTAATTGTATTTGCGGTGTGAAGGTCAGTTTAACCCCCACCAAGTTGAAATGATTGTTGCTTTAGGTCTGACTTTGAAACCAAGGACTCATGTTGGCAGCAGGTTGGCAGCAGATCAATTGGTTCACTTTGAGGGCTTTAGCCTAGAATAACTAACAACTATTTATTTGAAGAAATAAGATTGACGTTTGACAACCACCTTAGATTTGTAATATACATTTCTGTGCATACTCGGGCTAATTTGTTACTATGCTTTAAGGAAAAGGGTGTGGTTTTCATAAAGGAAATCCAAACGCTGATCTTGTTCATATACTGTCTTTAGTCACCAGTTAATAGGTAATCATCTAATAGTGGTTTTATGTATCCACTCTTTAATGTAGTAGCCTATGTGCCACAGTTGGAATTGACACGTAATAGAGTTAACATAAATGATATATCAAATGAATGCTGTTAACCTTTGTATGAAGAAATAGGTATTTTCTCATTTCCTTTCAACAAAACAATATAATGACAAATGGTAAACAAATAAAATAATGTTTACATCATTATCCATGTAAGATTAGCAGATACGAAAAAGATGACATGATAATAAGAGGTATAAATGGGGTCTTTATCTCCCTTAACTTAACATTTGATGTATCTTTGTGAATTTTTGGTAAATAAATGTGTTAACTATGCATTAAAGAGGTTTTAGGTTACACATCCTTTATATAAAAACACTGTGACTGTGAATAATACATAATGGGGTCAACATGAATAAGAACATTGATTAACCTTTGTACACATCAGTAGTTTCCAATTTTCTTTAAACATTCGCTTTGATTACATAGCAGGGCAATAGTAGATGATGTCAAAGTAGAGAAACACAATTTGTATTAATGTTTAACAATCGCAGTAAAAAAATACTCACCGGAGCCGTAGCGTACGTCGTGCGAGTGAAGTCTCACATTGTGCTTTACATTTAACAGTTTAATGACAGATCCGCATGTCAAAAAACTCAGCTCAGTGCCGAGGGACGGTCCAAATATACAGCATAGATATAATAAAAAGGTTGGTAAAGTTTGTCGAGAAACAGCACAATCTAAAATACCCATTCCTACAAAAGATCCCGAGCAAAATGCCGCTGATGCCTCTGTGAGATTTGTATTATTTTACGCTACGTCAGTGAAGAGGCAAGTATGGCAGGAAGAGGCTCGAGGACAGCGCCCCTAGCGGCTGGGAGGAGTCACTGCTAATACCTTACTGTGATATTTGTACTTATTTTTTGTTTAATTGGTATTTTGTGCAATATATTGATGATAATGATGATGACACATCTTTAATTGTTTAACACTTTTCATACACCAGGTGCAGCTCAAGGTGCTTTGACAACCAATTTTTATATAGTATTTTATTTTACTGTAGTTAGTGTCCTACATATGTATGTGTTGTGTTAATATTGTCTTTATTTCTAATTTGTTACAATAGTCTTTAATATAGTTTTTTTTTAATAGTTTTTACAACAGTATTATTTGTTGGTTCTTTCTTGTAAAAAACCTTACTGTTCTTCCTGTGTCTTTGTATGCATAATTTACAGCAAAGCAAATTCCTTCCATGTGTTAACCGACTGGGTAATAAAACCCGCTTCTGATTCTGAATTTAAAACAAATTAAAACTACAAATAAGAAATTCCCCTTCAGGTCCAATCTTTTTGCATACAATATAAAGTATAAACGCATAATCTAACAATTCAAGGGACAAAATAGGTTTTATAACAACAATACAATAAATAATGATCCCGCTTGATAAAATAAAGGAAGACAAAATGAATAAATAAAATAAAATAAAACGCATACAATGAATAAGTAAATAAAAATATATTTATAAACTAATAATAATCAAATAAATAAATGATAATAATGGAGATTAAAGCCACAAGCAGCTGTGAGGGCACCGCACAGTTTATCCTTTTTTACATGGCTGGTTTATTCAATACAAGTACAATTTGATTATAAACACACTCCCACAAAAAAATTATGTTGTGTGTAGTCTTTATAAGTTATTTAGCCTTGTGTAGAATCAAAGCGACCCAGCAGGGGGCGTCTCGTTTCCAGAGAACAGGATGGAAGTCCCCTCTGCTTACCGGAATTGCCTTTCACGCCGCTCGTTGTCGGCCATTTTTTACAACTACAAGCTCCCCGACACACAAAACATAACACACTCCCGTTATAACTGTAAATATTATCGGAGTACACCACCGCAGTGAGACGTGTAAGTCCAGTTTCTCCGTGGTAATGTTGATCTTTACATTGTGCTGCCTAGCTAACAGTGGTTAACTAGCTAACGGGGATGCAGTTGGCTGTTGTTGTCGTTCCGGCTAATGCTAGGCTAACGTACTGATGTGCTAAAGCATAAACTAACGCTAGACTGCGAAGTTGGCTGAGATGGGCCTTGGTTAATTCCCACAGCTTGGACATCGTCTTGGTTGCTGTTTTACTGTCAGTTTATATCTTGATACATACACTATGATTTCAACTTGTGCTAGCTAACAGTACTTGGTAAAAGGTTGCACGCAAGCTAACATGCATCGTTAGCGTGGGTGCTAGCTCATAGGGATGATACCGTTAGCTAACGACATCGAACATCATTTCCAATACCAGATGAATGTTTGTCGACCGACCGCTCATCAGATGGCTAAGATTCAGTTACATTAGCTACAATCAGATAGAAAGAAAGGGGCTGATGTGCCTGGTTAGTGGTCTCCGTGGGAGTTCAGTGTGTGCGCAATGCGACATTGTTAGGTCTAGGGTTTCTTAAGGTCGCCAACTAGATGTAGTTTTCTTGTTACTGACTAACATTATGACAATGAGTTTAAAACCATAACCAGGTCAATTAGAAATACGAAAATAGAGTGTTAATTGACTGTAAATTGGTTTAACGTTGTTTGTCAATAACACCTCAAACATGCTTGCAAAACCCAATAATCCCGGGCTTTTTTTGTATAGATGTTAACATAAATAAATCGCATATTCAGAAAACAATATAAAGTTTATGTGACACAAAACACAGATTATACATTGAACAGACGCATATTTTTGATCTATTCAGTACATACAAACTACCAAGCCCTTCATTTCAAATTCTGAAGGAGATACTAAAAATACAAAAAGGTGTAAGGATGAATTTGGTCACACCGAAACAATTGGGGCATTTTATCATTTGGTGTAATGGTGCATCTTGCGTTTATTATATTTTTAATGTAATTGTTTAACGAAGAGCTGGAAGAACCTGTTGAACAATGTAAATGCAATACTGTCAGAGAGTGTGAAATACGATTTTTGTTCAATCTTGTAGCAGAAATGGAATGATATGGGTTGAATTCACAATTGCAGCATAACGCATGAAGGCGTGTTGTATGAGTTGTGTTGGTGTGGCTTTTGTATTTGTGTCTGTCTAGTCTCGAAGAACAAATACTTGGATGAAGCTGAGAACATTTTCTAACAGCCTTTCTTGTACTGCTTCCAGGAACAGCCGTCATGTCGGACTTTATTGTCAGCGAGGCTGAGGAGTCGGAGGAGGAGGAGGAGGAGGAGTTAGAAGAGAAAGACTTAAAACCTAAAAAGACCCAGCGGTTTGTGGAGGAAGATGGTAAGAATGAAATGGTTTAGTTCTTGGCATGTGTTTGAGGGGGGTTGAATGATTTGTTGACCACTTATATCTCATTACTTAACAGACGAGGAAGAAGAAGAAAACACAGAGGACCAGGATGAACGAGGAAATTTACGCGGTCTCATTGATGATGCAGAAGAGGAGGACGAGGAGGCGGCGGCACCAGCACCTGCAAGTGCAGCGGGGAGTGACTCAGAAGAAGAAGTGAAGCATCGACGGAAAAAACGCAGTAAGTGCATTTGATATTTTAAAGAGATCCAGCCATGATACAGTGTGTTGTTGTGGTTAGTTTCAGGAAGTGACCAAGGGACAAGCTGTATTGGATCTCTTCCAATTATTCCATACATATTGACATTCTGCCCATTCCTATCCCACCCTTCATAGCTCTTCTGCCTTTCTCTGTCCAGTTTTGATGGGTCACACACACACAGAGGAAATCCTAGAAAATGTAAATCAAAAAGTACATCAGATATGAACATGTGTGATGCGTATTCGACAACTGAGGTCTTTTGATCAAGGTGTCAACATAACATCGTCTGTTTACCAGAGAGCCTTTATAATTAGATTTCTCCAACTGTGAAATCCCAAATATTGAAATCATTTTGGAGACACAAACCCAGTTCTGAATTGATTTGGGATCGGGTCATTATTGTAATTTATTGTTTTGGTCTGGCAGAAATGTTACCAATTACCTCATATCAGTATCTCGACAGGAATGTCAGCAGTGATATCCCAATATAATAGAGAAGTCATTGATTACGCTGTAAATACCAGATTTATTGCCATTCTGTAATACTGCAATTACACATAGTTAGTGTTATTAACAAGTTCTGGATAAGACCTTTTTACTGGACTTTGCTAAACAGTAAATCAAATCAAGTTTTTATTTATATAGCACATTTTAAAACGATTTTTGGTCGAGCCATGCAATAAAAACACTTTACTGCGATAGCAAACAGAAGACAATAAATTACAACAGCAAATATAAAAATCAAACACAGGAAAATGTCAGCTGTCGTACTCTGCTCTGACTAGAAGGCCAGGGAGAAGAAGTGAGTCTTTAGTGTCGATTTAAAACCCCCTAGGGTCTGGGCCGACCTCACATGGAGGGGCAGAGTGTTCCAGAGCCTAGGGCCCGCTGCTGCGAAGGCTCGGTGACCGACAGTAAAGTTTAAAGAAAGATTATACTTGTATTATAAAAACGAGCCATGTAAAAATGGAGATAAGCTGTGCGGCGCTCTCACTTGTGGCTTCATGGTTGCAGCGTAAAGGATATGTGTATATATATATATCGTGTATATATATATATATTATAAACCCAATGATTTATACTTGCAGATCGTAGTGACGACTACCTGGATGATGATGATTTGGACCTGATTGAGGAAAACTTGGGTGTTAAAGTGAAAAGAAGGGTAAGAATCTCCTCACTTTTTTCTCTACAGTAATACAGTCAAGTTAAAGCTAGCACTGCTGATGCTGTACCCGTCTGGTTTCACAGAAGAAGAAATACGACCGTGTAAAAACACTCGATGATGATGAAGAAGATGACGACGAGAAGGACTTGATCGCGGATGAGATCTTTCATGGAGATGCAGAGGGCGATCTGGAGGAAGGGGAGGCCGTCGATGAGCCCCTCCACCAAGCAGATGACGAGGAAGAAGGAGAAGACGAGGAGTCAGGTAGGCCAGGAATTTTAGATCGGTCTTTAAATAACTAAAGAGCAGAGAAATAATAGTTACATCAACTGAGTCGCACACTTAGTCTAAATATTGTGCTGTATAATTGATTTGTTTTCTAAATGTGTTCCACAGATATAGATGATTTTATTGTGGATGATGACGGCCAACCCATCACCAAAAAGAGGGGCAAGAAGTTCTCAGGATACACAGATGCGTGAGTGTCAAAGATTATGCAACAAATCTATCATTCAAAAGGTTTAGCGTTTGTGGGGAAATACGCTCCATTGCTATATTTCTATATCTGGTAGAGTCTAAATTGCATTATCATTTTTCACATAAAAAATATTATTAGTTTTGGTAACAACAATACAATAAGCACATAATGTCTGCTTTAAGTGAAACACATAATCACTCCACTGCGCTGCCCTTCCTGCCACAGAGCCCTCCAGGAGGCCCAGGAAATCTTCGGCGGAGACTTTGACTTTGCTGAATTTGACGCAGACGCATACGACCAGGGTGAGGAGGAGGAGGAGGACCAGGATGAAGAAGCTTGGGACCGACCCAAGAAGCAGACAAAGAGGAGGCAAGGCAGGAAGAGCATCTTTGAGATCTACGAGCCCAGCGAGCTGGAAAGTAGTCACATGACCGACCAAGACAACGAGATCCGTAACACAGACATGCCGGAGAGGTTCCAGGTTTGTGTGTTTGTCGCCAGTGTTGTTGATGCTAACAGTATTGTTGATGCTAACAGTGTTGTTGATGCTAACAGTGTTGTTGATGCTAACAGCGTTGTTGATGTTAACAGTGGTGTTGATGCTAACAGTGTTGTTGATGCTAACAGTGGTGTTGATGCTAACAGTGGTGTTGATGCTAACAGTGGTGTTGATGCTAACAGTGGTGTTGATGCTAACAGTGGTGTTGATGCTCTGTTGTAACGATCTCATCTGGACCATAATGGATCATAGTGACTGCTTTCTCAGGTGTATTCATAATTAAGTGGTCTTATTTATTTACACCGTGTTTTCCTGATGTTTGCCATGTGCCTGTTATCCTGACTCTCTTCTCCTTCTTATAGTTGCGATCCATCC